TATGAAAAGGGAAAAAACAATACTCCTTTTTATTGCTAAAAATAAAAAAAAATTTAACAATAAACTAATGCATGGATTCTAATGGGCTAACCGCTAATTAGAAAATAAAAGGTTGAATGAGACTGACCTACACGGGATTTGCCCATCAAGTAAAACAAATGAACATCATGGGTTTGCCATTCTAAAACAAACTATTTTCTCTAGCATAATATATATTATGCTATTATTTTATATCTTAGTGGCTAAAGTATAATGTATTTTAAAGTTATTCAATGGCTCAACCTCGACCAACCCAATTAATCCAATTTTTATCATATCAAATATATATTATGTAATTATTTGATATCATAATGATTAAAATATAGTATATATTATAGGAAATCGTTTGGTATTTGTTAGTAAAACACTAAACATAAAGATCTATTTGGTTATTTTTAACATTAAAACGATCCTAAACATTTTCAGTTTCCTTTCCAAATTCTATAGTTTTATTCTCGAATCAGTGATGTGAAAATGGCGAATTGCCGTCCTCTCTTTTCTTTCATTATTTTTTATTTTCAAATAGAAAGTTTAAAAGTAAAGAATAATTAGAGTTTGGCATGGGTCGGTCAAACAGGCTGAATTTCAAGCTTTGGCCCGTTTTGATCAAGTCTAATTAGAATGGTTCCCTGATACCCGATAAAAATCTCAATCCAAACCAGTTTGGCAGGTGAGTCCGTATTTACCACCATTTTCTAGGGATACAGGAACGGTGGTTCTTATCCCAAATCGTGTTGTTCATTCTTTATTTCTTTAGATTTTATCATGCCTTGGCAAAAAACCAGAAAGCACAATGATGACAAGATGAAAGTTTTACAAAAAAAATTAATCGGCCAACGGGCCGAGTAAAAGCTAGCAGCGATTGTGAGATGCCATTTCCCGAAAACCGGTGGGATATGCGATTTTTTATTTGATTTTCTGGAATTCGGTTTCTATAAAACTTACTCCACCTCATCATATTACCAGAAACAATATTGTTTCACAAGGTAATAGGTACTTGATTTTGGTTCATCAGACTGATTTTTGATTCGTTGCATCATTCATGTCTCTTTTCTACTAAAATTCACTATTTTTATCACGTGTTTCCCACAAAAAACTATACAACAATAAGCTATACACCCCATTACATTATCAAATTTCAACCTCACCTTCCTCTAGCCAAATGGTCGGGGCCCGCACTAGTTTTATATAATTCGGCAAAAGGACGGGGTGAAAGCTAGTAACAACTAGGAAATAGAAAATGAACAAGAGGGAAAAAATCCAAAACTACCATCAATAATTTTTTTTACAAACTGCCTTTGAACTCCGAAAAATTTCAAAAACACCACCATTTCCCGAAAACCGCGACCACACCCTATGGTTTACTCGGAAATCGCTGGGTGGAGGAGCGCCTATCCACCAAAATCATTTTGGGTAGGGGCGGTGTGGTGGACCGCTCCCGGTCGGATCGGTCTGGCCCAAAACCGCTGTCACACCCAGCGATTTGGTCAATAATTTGTTTTTAAATTCCTAACCTAGGTGGAAACTTCAAATGAGCGTATCTTTTTGTTCGGGTATCCGATTGTAGCGAATTTTTTTTAATTTCGCATAATTTTTTCGAGATCTTGCAAGCTGTTTTTGCAGCTTGCAAGATCTCGAAAAATTATGCGGAATAAAAAATATTCGCTACAATTGGATACTCGTGCACAAAGATACGTTCGTTTGAAGTTTCCACATAGGTTAGGAATAATCGAAAAAAAGGAACAAACCGTTGGGTAGGGCAGCGGTTTTGGACCAAATCGCCCCTACCTAGAGCGATCAACCAAACCGCCCCCTACCCAAGAGGTTTTGGTGGAAAACTGCGCCCCACCCAACGGTTTTCGAGTAAACCGCGAGGTGGGGTGACGGTTTTCGAGACAGGGTGGTATTTTTGGAATTTTTCGAGTTGGTGGTAATTTTATAAAATTTTTTTTAAACGATGGTACTTTTGGATTTTTCCAAAATATCAGCATCATCCTTTCCTCGACAGGATAACCAAATCTGCAAAAAGGATAAGGTCCTCCCACCTATTGTTGAGAGGACGTCCTCCCAACGGAGAATATATGATATTTGTGTAATGGTAATATAGTATACGATTTACAGGAATATATATTCGTCCGACAAGAAAAATATATTTTTATAATAGATAGTAGTATGAAATCAAGCCTTCAAGAATATTATATTCTCATAACACAAATACCATCAAGCCTTCGAAAATATCATATTCTCATAACATAAATATCATATTCTTGAAGGCTTGATTTCATACTACTATCTATTATAAAATACATTTTTCTTGCCGGACGAATATATATTCCTGTAAATCGTATAATATATTATCATTACACAAATATCATATTCTTCGTTGGAATGAGCTCTCACAATAGTAAGTGGAAGGAACTTATCCGCTCCGCCAAATCTGGGCTTGCATCGGCTAAAACGCCTCGTCAGAGAAAACGGTTGGGCCTTTTTTCACAAAGGGTCAAAAGTGGTTCCAAAGTCTTCGTTTGTGTGCTTTCCATTCGTATCACAATCACACACATGCTGCTGATCTTCTTCAGGGCTCAAGATAGGGTGCATAACCATGGGTTATGCACCCATCAATAACCAAATCTGGACCCTTTATTTAGAAAATTCAGACATAAGGAAGGAGAATTAAAGACCATTTTTATTTTTTCTAGCTTTCTTAATTGACTCATATCTTTTTCGTTTTAACTCGGATTTTAATTTTTTTTTCCACAGATGGAACGAGTTCATCGTGCTCTACAAAATGAGATCAATTTTCAAAAAAAATTTAGAAAAAAAATTCTGGCCTCTCGGTACCAACTGCATACCATATGGTATCTTCTTCGTTTTTAATTCGTTTTTGAAAAAGTTTGCACAGAAGGGACGAGTTCATCATGATCTATTGGATCTACAAATTTCTGGGTGAACAAATTACAGGACCAAAAAATACCACACAATACCATACAATACCACCCCGGTACGGGGTGGTATTGTATGGTATCTTCTTCGTTTTTAATTCGTTTTTGAAAACGTTTGCACATAAGGGACGAGTTCATCATGATCTATTGGATCTACAAATTTCTGGGTGAACAAATTACAAGACAAAAAAATACCACACAATACCATACAATACCACCTTCGTACGGGGTGGTATTGTGTGGTATACAATGTTAAAAGTCGTAAATGAAAATTAATATACTTCTACTATCATGTATTCAACCATCCTACAGTCTTGGTTTGTTCATACCACCATGGTACGTTTTTCAAACCATAGGTATGCTTTTATTTCAATACCAGTCAATACCATATGGTATAGACTGGTAAAAAATGACTCAATTTTTTTTGTTCGAAAAATATATTAAAGTGGATATCATTTTGAAGAGCACAATTAATCTGATCTAACTGTGAAAAAAAATTAAATTTTGACTTAAAATGAGTGAGAAATCGTCCGTCAAAGATTAAAGAGGGGAAAATTAAAGGCTTTCCAGGAGAGAGAGGATGCTAATGTCATGCTGATGTAGACGGGTTACTCATGGTTACTCACCATAAGATTACTGACCTGATTCATTCCCCTTCTTCAGAGTTCAGACACAACCTCTAAAATCCGCCTTTTTTTTTTCTTTCTTCTTTTCGGCCGTTGAGAAGATCATTAATTCGAGTAATAATATATTCATACGGATAATTCCATCCATTAGCTGGATCTAACATTCTAGCTCGCTTGTCCACTTCCACTTCCGCTTTCGTAGTTCATACTTCATAGATCGATCTGAATTCATTATTATTATACAGTAACATTGTACACGTGCCGACGTGAGTGTTCTGATTTGTGGAAATTTTATAAATATTGAGAAGGAGCTTGAATAATTGATTGGTCAATTCAAATAAGGATTTCTAAGAAAGTAAATTGTAATATGAGGAAACTTTTTCCCGACAAATATATTATCAGTTGGGTTTTGACGGTTTCCGATAAATATATTATTCGTTGGGTTTTTTGATTGGTATGGTTTTTGTCTTGGGTGCATATCAATGTGACTTCTTATAAGGTCACATATTTTTAAAAGTGCTTTATACTAAGCACGTTTACCTTCAGAGTTCTCACGAGATCTCCTCCATTTCACCCAAAACGCGTCTTATCAGTTAAGGTCGGTAATATCCTCGTCGAGGTTTGCCTCACCATCATTCAAAAAGGACGCATAGAGGCTCTGATACCGCTTGTAACATCCCGAACCTTTTTCCAGGTCAAGATATTGTCCGCTTTAGATGTAGGCCCGCATGGTCTTTTGTCTTGGGGTGTGCATATAAAGGTGACTTCCCATAAACTTGTCCATCTTGTAGTGCTCAAGGCTGATCACATTTAACTTCGGAGATCTCATAAAAGCTCATCCATTTCACCCCAATACACGTCTTATCAGTTAAAGTCGGTATCTCATTTATTACCATATATCTCTTCCGTACTTTATCTATGTGGAATTCACCATAAACAGTAAGATTGCTCTGGATTTTTCGGAGCTGTCAAAATGTAACCCGACCCGAGTAACCCGCCCGAACAACCCGACCCGCAACCCGCCCGCAACCCGATTTGACTAAACCCGACTGACCCGCAACCCGAACGACCTGCAACCCGACCAACCCGTAACCCGATCGACCCGCAACCCAACCAACCCGCAACCCGCAACCCGACTAAACCGAACCCGTACCCGACCAACCTGCAGCCCGACTATAATAGAAGGAATTCGATGAAGATAAACCAAAAGTTGACATGTGAAATTCTAGTTCACTAAAGTCTGATCATTACATCATCATTATTAACTTAGTATAATAATATACATCATCAACTTATTAGCACATATAATATCATCAAATATTTATTTAGATACATCATCAACCTAATAGTGCACATAACATTATAAAATATTAATTTAACATAATAAGATAATTATAAGATTTAAATGCCAAATATCATGATCATGTCATAAAAAAGACTAATAATATTTCACAAAATTCTGATCATAACAAGAATACATGACTCATAAATAGTTCATATCGTCTCATGACCTCAAATATCAAGACCGCCAGGGAGTATATCTTCACCAGCTCATAGAAGGAATCAGACGGCAAGGCGATGGCGGATGAAACGTAGAGGGTGGAGATTGACGAGGGAGATGGGGAAGGTGAGAGGGATAGGTTTTGTTTTAGAAGTTTGGACTGGGAACGCAAGAAGACAGATTGTTAAAGTTATCATGTGAAATAAAAAATAATAAACTTAACTAAAAGATAAGGCAAAATACACTTGTATAGCCATAACTTTCACGTTTGTGACAAATATAGCCATAACTATTTGAAAACACAAAATAGCCAATTCCGTCCATCTCTTTAATGGTGTCATCTAACGCTATGACTGGACTAACGAAAAATGCTGAGTTGTCAATATTTTATCAATAATCATATAGGGTGGAATTAACTGAAAACAAAATAATAATTAATTAATTTTTTATTATTCTCTCTCCTCTTTCTCTTCTTTCCTCTTCCGCCACAAAAAACGAATCCCTCTTCTCAATTCCAGATCCGCTCTTCCCCACGGTGGCGGTTGTCATCGCCGGTTTCGACTCCCGTTCCCGGATCCGAACATCATCAGAGCATTGGCGGTTGAAAACCCAACTCCGATGATCCCGCCGCTTCCGACCCTTCCTCTACCGCCTCCGATGATCCCGCCGCTTCCTAGCCCTCCTCCTCTTGAACCCCCTGTTCTTTTCTTCCCCTGCCTCCGTCGCGTCCCGCCGCCATCCAGATATTCTCCCCTGCCTACCCACGCCACCGTGCTGAGCCTGCACTCTGGCTCCGTCGGATTACCGCCGGCGTCTTCCCATTTGCAGCCCCACCAGATGGTTTCCAGTGATCTCTCCGACTCCAAATCCATCCTGCTCGAGCCCCTTCAATGGCTACAACTACTATCCTCCAACCTCAACCCAACATTCATCCTCGGGATCTTCGTTGTCTACGACCTCATCCAGGGCTTTTGGGCCTCCTCATCGACGTCTTCCCCGTCGGCAAGTACAGGCGGCAGCCGTACTTTGTGGCGTCCAGGGTACTGGTGGTCAAGCTCCTCTCCACTTCCCAAGCCTGCGACGACGACCCCTTCTCCCACCACCACCGCCTCTCCCACGTTTCCCTCAGCGACAACCACTCCTCCTCCGATGCGGGCACGGGAATCGCTCTCCCGCGGCGGGAGATCGAGGAGATGCCGGAGAAGCAGGGGACGGAGATGAGATCCATGATGCTTTGGCTTTGACCTGAAGGATGCTGTTGCGGTGGGGAAGGGAGGGGATGGATGAGGGAAGGTATAGCGACGGTGGGGAGATGAGATCGAGAGAGGCGGCGGAGGTGGGGATAGGGTTTGGGGATGGGGATTGGGGACCGAAAGGGTAATTTGAGAGTTCTGGTAAATAAAGTGCTTTTTTTAAATTAATGAAAACGTTAGCATATTCCACGTAGATGAAAAATGGCCATGTCATAAATCACCGTTTGTCCAGTCAGCACCTCATATTTTTTATTATTATTTACATGGCATTCCATGTGTACGTTTTGCTGATGTGTCAATGATGTGTAGGTTGGTTTTCGTCCTCGTCAGCGTTCCGTCAAACGATTTAACGGAGTCACAGACGGTGTTAAAGTTTCTAACGGATTTGGCTAGATTTGTCACACTACCCTCAGTTTTTTGGGCTATTTGTGGTTTTCGAATAGAAATGGCTATATTTGTCAAAAGTGTGAAAGTTATGGCTATACAGGTGTACTTTGCCAAAAGATAAAGCCAAAGATAGCAGAGCAGGTTACTTTAAAATGAAGAGCTCCAGTTTTCAAAAACCTGCCGGCAAAACCAAGTTTTGGGCCAGGCTAAAATTTGAAGAGCCAAATTGATATTCGGCTTTAATATATCGGATTCTTGGACTTTATGTGATTATCCGTGGAATGTTTTAACCGATTGGTGCTAATTTAGGGCTCGCTAACCCGGAAATGGTTGAAAAACTATTACTGCCTAGTGCTATGAGTTTGATATGATACAGGTGGAGAAAGCACGAAAAAGGAGCGAGGCTTTTGGGCCGGCTTTGCAGGGACAGGCAAATAGGCGGCCATTTATTCTGGGCCATGTCCACGAAATTCTATTTGGTGGACAAGGAATTGGAAGAGCTGGGCCTGGGGGAATTAGTGTGGGCCTGAAGTGGAATTCTACTGGCGGCACTTTATGTGGGGGTTTTTGGAACGAGAGGCAACTTTTGTTTTTTGGGTTTTTTTAGGAGGGCGGCCGGATTTCTTGGAAAAAAAAGGAAGGCGGATTTGAATTGGTGGAAAAAACTTTATTCTGGGGGCGGCGATTTTCTTTGAAGGAAAAAGAAAGCGCAAGGCAGCAGGGGGCGAATTTCTTGTGGAGAAGAAAGGAAGCGGCGCAGCAGGGCAGCAGGCAATCAGTCGATTTCCATCGGCGATTGAGTTTTTTCAAGGCTAGAGCTGAGTTCAACGAGAGCTATTAGTTGGTTTGATTTTCTAAACTGAACTAGTTGTGTATTGTTGATTTAGAACATGATGAACAAAACCCTATCGATTTATCTTAATTTCGTCATGAACTAAACCCCAATTTCTGGGGGAAACACCATAGGATGTAGCTATTTCTTGATTTGATGGATTGATTTATGATTCTTTTCTTCCAATCTCTATTGCATGAAATTACTTAATGCTTTGTGTTGACTGGCCACCAATACAACGATTTGTAGTTAATTAGGTTATTAGCGACAGTGAAACCCTAATAACTGAACCTATTTCATGTGACATAGTAACTTATCGAAGCGACAGTGGATTAAATAAGATGCTATGTGGTCTTGAATAGGATATCGATCTTCAGGCTAAATAATTAAGTCATTGAGCTACGACAGTAGGATTTGATTTAATTGTTTAGTACGTAGTAATGCCCGACAGGGACAGCTAGCACATTCGTGATATCCTGGCTGTAGAGGTATGGATTAAATTGATTGGAATATGTGAATTAATCTGGATAGGATAGGTAGTGAATCCCGGTGTTTCTCCCAGAGCTTTCTCCCATTGATTTAAACCCGACATTTTAATTTGCTTGTTTTGTTAATTACTTTGCTAGTAGATCATAGTTTCATCTCATTAAACATTTTCACATATAGTTTGCTCAATAAAAATTGATAGAACTTAAGGTTGTACCAGTCCCTGAGAGACGATACCCGGACTTTCCGGTTTTACTACGAGGTAGGAATTGAAGCATTGCGCTTTTGCCCTATCAAGTTTTTGGCGCCGTTGCCGGGGACTGCCATACCTTATTTTTATTGATTTTTGTGAGTGAACTGTTTTGATCTGGGTGTTAGTGTGCAGGTGAATTTTTCAGGTTAATCCTCCTCGTGCATGCCAAGGAGGACGACTGGCAATTTACTGCCACTAGATCCCGAGATCGAGAGGACCTGCCGACAGAACAGGAAGCAGGTCAAGTTAGGGAAGCAGCCTACCACATCCACAACTCCTAGGCCTTCCCTAACTCAGAATCGTCAACTGAGAAGGCAGGTGACACCGCCTGTCATCCCTACACCACCTACACCACCGCCGCGCGTCATCGAGCCTGTCATCATGGCTGAACAGGATCGTTCGATCAGGGCTCGTCTGAATCGGAGGACTGGAGCCCGAGCTTCATGTGTTGTCATTCCGGCTGGGGATGCAAACATGGAGATTGCCCCAGCCTTCATCAATATGATCACTAATGGGTACACCTTCTCAGGGGCCAGCACCGAGGATCCTCATGAACATCTCCGCCGGTTTGCAAACATTTGTGACACAATGAAGAGCCCGGCTGTGTCTGATGATGCCATCCGTCTTCGGATGTTCTCATTTTCTCTGCTAGGGAATGCATCACACTGGTTCCAGAACTTGACACCCCGTTCCATCACAACATGGGGTCAGCTTGAGAAGACCTTTTTGGATAAGTACTTTCCTCCTGCCAAGGCAATGAAGAGGCAAGAGGAAATTGTCACTTTTAAACAAGCTGAGGATGAAAGTCTAACCGAGGCATGGGAGCGCTATAAGGAGCTATTGGAATGTGATCTCCATCTTCTTCAACGGAATCAGAAGACAATTTCGAGATGCTCTGAATAATGCTTCCTGAAATGGTTTCACAAGAATGGAAGCACCAGAAGCATATGAACTGTTGGAGAAGATATGCTCTGAAGATACTGAATGGGGTAGTGAGACCGGCATTCGAAGGAGAGGAGGCTTGCATGAGATAGACAGAGTTGCAAGTTTAGAAGCAAAGATTGATGCTAAGCTGGATTCCAAGCTCGATGCACTCGAACGAAGGTTGGCTAAGATGGCTCTTGGTAGACAGCAGGAGGTTGCTTTGTGCGAATTATGTGAAGGTGCTCATCATAGGGATCTATGTCCACTGGTAGCTGATCAGTTGGAAGATGTGCACTATATCAACAATCAACAAAATCAAGACCAGGGTGGTATGTATTCAAATACCTACAACCCGCAATGGAGGAAGCATCCTAACTTTTCCTGGGCAAACAACAACCCAGCTGGTGCTCGCAACATTGCTCCTCCAGGCCTGCAGAAACAACAACCTCAACCAGAGAAGAAACCACAACTTGAAGAATTGCTTCTGGCTCACATGCAGAAAACCGACAATAATCTGAAGGGTCTTGATCAATTTGTCACTCAACAGCTAGCCATCAACAATACTATGCAATCATCTATGCTAGCTATGGAGAGGCAAATAGGCCAGATGGCTCAAACTTTGGCAGATATGCAAGGCAGGATTCCTGGGACATTACCAGCAAATACTGAGAGGAATCCGAAGGATGCCATGGTTGTAGCAGTGACATTGAGGAGTGGAAAGGCCTTGGAAGACCCTAGCAGCTCGAAAAAGGCACCAGAGGCAGAAGAGGAAGCACCGGAAGAAAGATCTTGTGCAGAAAATGAAGAATCAGCCTTGCACAGGCAAAATGAAAGCGGTTTGCCTGTGCAAAAGCATGCTGTCCGTGTACCTCAAAAAGTGGAAAAATTGAAGAATGAAGAGGTAAAGCCTTATGAACCTCCCGCACCATTCCCTCAAAGGTTAATGAAGCCCATGGAAGACCCAAACTTCAAGAAATTTGTGAATATCTTCAAGCAACTTCAGATTAACATACCGTTGGCGGAGGCACTTGAACAGATGCCTACATATGCTAAATTTTTAAAGGAGTTGCTGACTAAGAAGCGCAAATGGGCTGATTTGGAGAAGGTAACCCTTACTTCTGAATGTAGTGCCGTGATTCAGAATAAATTACCAGAAAAAAGGGATGATCCGGGCAGCTTCACCATTCCATGTGTCATTGGAGGTACAGAGTTCGATAAATCACTTTGTGATCTTGGAGCAGGAATTAATTTGATGCCATACTCAGTCTACAAGAAATTGGGATTGGGAGATGTTCTTAAGCCTACTCGGATCACGCTCCAATTGGCTGATCGATCAGTAAAAATTCCAAAAGGAGTAGTGGAGAATGTATTGGTGAAGGTGGGAAAGTTTATTCTCCCAACAGATTTTGTAATTCTGGAGATGGAAGATGATCGGGGAGTGCCTCTAATTCTCGGCAGACCTTTTCTAGCAACCGGTGATGCACTCATCGATGTTGGGAGAGGCAAGTTGACATTCCGAGTAGGTAAGGAGGAGGAAATTTTTAATGTCTTTCAAGTTGACCATAATCATGATGAATTTGAAAGTGAAGCTCGAGAAAGGAAAAATCCCTCTTCCTGTGATAGTGGACCATCCGAAGAACTATCACCTATCCTATCTGCTCAGATTCTGAAATCAAAGCAAGGGCAGAAATCCTTGCCAGGTCACCTCAAGTATAGATATTTGGGTAAGGATTTCAATATTCCTGTTATTATTCCTTCTTCACTGACATTGAAACAGGAAGAGTACTTGCTTGAGGCGCTGCAGTACCACCTACGCCTCACTAAAGGGTCCAACATGCAAGATAAGAAGGTCATACCAATTTTTCGTACACCTGGCCCTGCAGAGGTGACTCATATGTTAGATGGAGGCTATGCGTTCTATCATTGCTCGGGAGGGTATGCTGGATACCTTTCCATACCCATTGGTTGAAAGCTCCATAAACGTCAGGCTGAGGACGTTAAACAAGCGCTTCTTGGGAGGCAACCCAAGGTAAGTTTTCTTTTCTTTATTTTTATTTTTAGTTGTGTCAAACCCGTGCATGTTTAGATTAGGAGTTGAACATTAGGGACAATGTTCCATCCTGAGTGTGGGGTGGCGAGTCTTAGTGTTTGTTTGTTCCTTTTGTCATGTGGTCAGTAAAAAAAAATCCAAAAAAAAAAAATTTTGTTTGTTCCTTTTGTCATGTGGTCTGTAAAAAAACAAAAAATACAAAAAACAAAAAAAATTGCCATTAGGTTGAGCACAGCCAAACTGCATGCAGTTTG